CTTAAAGTGCAAATCTATGCTTAAATTGATGCACTAAATAAAGTACCCTAGTGCTAACCAAGCTGCTTTTTAATAAAGGTTAAGGGTCCCTTTAAAGTGCTAGTTATCTACGTACATAAAAAAATAGCCCTAGTAATGAAAACCTCATCATTACAGTAGGCTGTTTAACTACACTAATCTACTTCAGAAAATATTTGATTAATTAGGAGATAAAATGCTATTAGAAATGATAGAATAGAATTAGCACAATAGACTCTATCATCTGTATGTGTGTCGCCCAGCGCTATGCTGCAGTTTATATTTTAACATTTTCTTGTAAACAATTTGTTTGATTGAAAAACAAAAAAACAACATAAATGAGGAAAATATTAAATGTAAATGTGAAAAGAAGAAGTATAAAATGTTTGTAAAAATGATGGGATATGAAGGGAGGCGTATGGATTATAGATAAAACTCTTCCAGAGGGTCGGAACATTTTTTAAAAGTCCCTTTCAGACTGGAGGACATGATTTCATAGAAATTCTGTGTTTGCAGAGATCATGTCATGATGTATGAAGGTTGCTGCCAACCCGCAAGACAAAAACCTTAAATCCAAACAGACATCTCAAATGTGTGAACAGCTGAAAAAGATAAAACGGTTTTCAGTTTAAGCTAAAAGTTCTCTGATTCTAAACTACAGAAGCACACTAAAGTAAAATTAAAAAAGATGGAGGCAGCCATTCTGATATGTAAGATAAACTATTTGATATGGATGTGTTTTGAAATGCAAAATAATTTCCCCAAGCAATTCTTATAAATTTCTTAATTTACCATTTTCTTTTGATAGAAGTCATGTTAAATCCACCTGTCAGATATAGGAATAGATACCTCCTGGTAGCAGGTCTACCCCGGTAATGGAGCATTAGCATAGGTACTGCTCAGCCCTTAAAGTCATAGGGAAGCGGCCGTTCCAACCGTTAAATTTCAGAATTCTCCCGAGTGGTCCACAACTTTCCACTAGTGAATAAAGTGAATGTGATTGGTCGATTATCAAGGGGGCGGGGTTGTTGTGCGGAAGGTTCGCAAGCAGTTTGGTTGTAGCCAGTTTGTCAGAAGCATCTAGCTAACCAGTTAGCAACTTAGTGCTAGTAGGTTCCCAATGGGAAATTCCGTAAAAATTAAAAAAAACATCCACTG